AATTCGTCTTGTTTCAGGGACTCTATACGGGGAAGGTGTCGTATCAGGGGAGAGATTTAGGGAGTATTCCCCGGAAATTTCCCCAGTTTCGCCTCGGCGCCCACTAACACTCAACGAGCTGGCAAATTGAACTTCCCGAGCTTGTGAAGTTTTCATACGAAATGCACACGCTCCGCACAACGCTTTGTAGAACTGTTTAGAGCGAGCTATCAGTGGCAACAGTGGTCATGTGACGTAAAAACAATTTCGACGCATGCAAATATTTATAAAATAGTGAACATCATGTCACTCTTCACAGTGTTCATCTATGGATCGAACTGAAAAAAATTGGTTGAAAGGCAAGCTCTTTTTACGAATCGCTGATGCTTGTAAGGTGCCGCCGGAAATTCCAAGAGACAAGTTTTAGGGCGGTGGCTGCAGCCAGCTGATGCCCTTGGGGCCACTCGCTAATCCTAGATGTTGAGGCGACACCTGGCAAGAGTATACAGCAAAACTTCAGCAGTAGAACGACTCACGTAGGCAGAAACTTGATTCTCTTTAATTAACGGGCTTTTTGAAGCGCTGCCCGTTGGTGTGCTCGGTTTGAGCGTATCAGCTCCTTTGCCGAAGGACATCTCTTTGGCTGGAGGCACATGATATGAATAGCTCCAAGCCATTTCATTATCCCACATTGTATCTGCAGTTGAAAACTATCGTCCTTGTGGAAAGCACAGAGACGCTCCTATTTTGTCAGCTATAACGAGTGTTCCTCTCTCGGAACTATTCTGAGGGGGAGGGCTGTTGCAGGCTTTCTCCCCTGCCAATATTCAGTACCCCATCCTTACGCACCCCTTACGAGACAGATTGGTAAACACACCTGTTGTCGAGTTATAGTAAACGGGTAAGTTGGCATATCTTGAGTATACGGGTCGTGGAGGATCACCAGATTCATTCAACTTCAAGTTTTCGAGTTGTTTCGTTTGTGGTATAGTGCCATGAAATCCAGACTGTACATAGGTTGTGGTGTTGGCAGCTCCACGAGCGAGTTCCAGCTGAATTCATCAGTAAGAAGACTTTATGTAGTGGAAACTACCTCAACTCACATCAGCGGCATAGACGGAAGGCACAGCCCGTGGTTGATCATCCAAATGATACGAATAAGGCGCTGGCCGCTGCATGGTTGTTGAGGTGAACTATGACAACCTCACCCTTATTTTACTTTTATACCCTGCTGGAGCAGTTATCAAAATGAGAACCTTGGTGTGTTGAGATGTTAAATGGTTAACTTGCTAGTGAGTAAGAGTTTCACTCGTTCTTGCATTTTGGGAAGCTGTCAACGGGAGATTCTACTCGGATCCTCATGGCAGTCTGAGTGTTCTTTTTAGCACAAAAGGGCTTCCAATTTTATCGTTGCATCCAAGATTTCCTAAAATTCCCCAGGAAATCCAAAGGTCTCTAGTAGTATATGCCATAGCACGTTGTCAGCAGCATGGTCTGGCATGCTGCTACAGCCTGGATGCTCCTCCCGAGTAAGGTGGCCCAAAATGGAAGCACTAGGTCTTTGCCCAAGGCGATACACTCGTAAGGATCAAGTCACACTGAGAGAACAAGGTCTTTCCGTGGGTTTCTCACCTCTTGGGAACACTTGGATCTTTCCCAAGGCTTGAACCCTAAGAATACTCAGTTCCTGCAATGTTAGCTACCCTCACCTCAGCTACCCTCAGTAGGCTGCGCGGCCAGGTTAAGGACGGGTAGTCAGGGGGGGGGGCCAAGAAAGCCAAGAAAATGGAATGAGCACATCGGCTTCTCACTACTAACCGTTTTCTCTCCAATTGATCACGACCGGGTAACAATCTCGGATCGCCAAAGAAATATCTCTGAATATTACTGTCGCCATGCCGAGATCAAAGGCGCCCGCGCTCATTCGCCATCACATGTAGTTCTTAAGAGTTCACATATCGACGGCAAGGTTGTGAGTAACTCGGGAGTGAAGAAAAAAAAGCAGAAAAAAAACATGCCCCTAGGTAGATCCCGATTTCGATCCCAGTTTGTACGTGCCCAATTAACTCCATCTCCAACACTACGCCCTCATCCGCACAGCTGATTCCCCGATAAGAACTCTACGACCGTACAAGTGACGATTTTCATGCTTTTTCGTCCTGCAGCTTCGTTTTTCACGAAGGCTGAGTCTGGCGGAGCCACCGGGAGAAAGGAGCCCGGGAGGAGGAGTATTGCCCTATAGCGCCCTCCCTTAGAAATTTTCGCCTCGAACCGCTACAAGGTTGTTTGTCGCGGACCACACTACCCTCCTACGCCATGTTTTCAACTTCTATACCTGATCGCGAACTGCCCTTAATGGTGAGTCGATCGTGGACCCATCAGTGACCGACCGCTATCAGTGGAAAAGGCAGCTGGAGCGGGTTCATTTTGTCCCTTGTGATAAAGTCCCGTCATATTACAACGATATCAACTATTTACTGTAATAGCAGGCAGACGCAGGAGGCTGAAGAAGGTGTTAAACAAAAAGGCATGCTCGGAGACATTCCAAGGACCGGAGCGAGAAGGTTTGTTATGAATTTTCCGATTTCTTGTGAAGTAAACATTTTAGAAGCCTACAAAAAGAGGGTGTGCTTTTGGAGTCCCAGTGGGTGCAGACACATTCCTTGGACAATGTGGTCCTGTTGCTCAAAGGATGTACATACCGCGTATGCACTCCCTTCTGACTGCGCACGTGCTTCAAAGACAGTCCCCGCGATAAAGTGTCATGGATAGTTGCTGTTCAATTATGAAACAGTAGCTGATAAGTAATTCCCCAAAGAAGAAAAAAAGCAAGAAGAGTCCTCAAGAACACTATAAACTCGCTCCCTGACAGTCACACCGCCCTGCGGTCTCTGTGCAACCCCTGGCTCACAAATCGCTTTTTCGCATCTCCCAGTAGTAGATATCATGCAAAGAGAAGAATACGAAAAACAACAAGAACGCCGACGAAAAATTCTTGAGAAAGACGAAACTTTCAAAAACTCGGCGTACGAATTTAGGGTTACGGTAGCGTGCATCTTTTAGTGTAGTGTGGTGCGTCGAGCTTTTGCACCAAGAAATTGCATCACTCGTGATTTTTACGCGTTTTACCTTGCAAGATGTATATGCTCGTAATCAATAAAAGGTAATAAAGATGAGCAGAATTACTTATGCGCACGATCGCGGTCAGCAAAAAGGACATACAGTATGAATGCCCGCCGCCCCAACAAAGACAATTGAGGCTGCCTTTCGTCTCAGAGGGTAGCCTAGCAGTGGGCGCGGTCCAATTGAGAGCGGGCGTTGGAACTAGAACTTTCAGAGGCTGTAGCATGCTCCTCGCTCGCTGTGGAGTCGCGAGAATGGGACATTCTCTTACTTGGGGGGTTGGACTGCTTGCACAAAAAGGACGACCATGAGCTTTAGCGCGGCGGGCTGTCTTTCGAAGAAGGTATGAGCATGTTCCAAGTGCTAGTACCCTGCTTTCGCTGTGCTTCTACAAGCACCTCTTCAACTCTCGCTTTTCGACAACGCCTGTAAAATACTCAAAGACGCAAAAAGCAGCTCGCCGGCATACCGCACACAGAAGAGCCCGTAACCGTACACGTATTGTAACCATACACTTAACATTACCGCAATCAGTTGAGTCGCAACTGGCGGCCCTCGTTGCGCGTTTTCATTGGTCGATTCTGCTTCCTAAATCGATCTCTACCCCCGATCACATTCGTAGAGCAGGCACCGAAGCGGCCGAACTGCGCGATCACGACGCCCCCGACTGGTGGCCATGTTGCAAGCAATGCTGCGAGTGCGTCGCAACCACGTAAGAGCATAACTCAGTTGTAATTACGGTTGATATCGTCACATTCGTTAGGCCCAGGAACGAGATGAGATCAACACGGCGTTTTCCCTCTGAATATTTTTTTACTACAACCTATTGTAGCCAACCCATCACTATTGATTGAAAAAGACAAACCGTCAAGCGGGGGCTCATTCCATACCGGAACGCTATGTTGTGACAGTTTTCTGCTGAATATACACGACGCCTCCCCCCAATGCGGGTCTCCGATACGACTCTCTTCCTCGCCCTGTCCATTGCTCATGGCCCTAATTATTACGAATTCTTTTCTTTTTTGGCGGACAAAACGAAAATACGGGAAAATAATGCGTGTTCGATGAATGGACACATTTTAAAAGATATTTCCTACACTCTTAGTGGCTTGAGTAATAACAAAAGTTTCTTGTCCCGGGAGGCACTGTGTCCCAAGAAGCGCTCTACCCAATTTTGCAATTTTAAAAGCAAGTTCCTGCTCTGAGCATAGAAGACTAGATGTTGAGTAGTTGCGCAGTTAACTAATTAATTAGTAATTATGTTTATGGAACACGCCGATTGAAAGATTAGGAAGCAGCCACTTGACTTACATACGATGGTCGGGAAACACTTGATCGACGAATGTGGGTCATTGAACCAATAACACATAAACTTCACCAATAAGCAAAACAACGCCGATTGAATCTCCTATTGGTCCACATTTGTGACGAATTATCTATGTAACTTGCTACTGTTCGGTAGAGAATTTGTGTTAGCATTAGGTTGTGTGCCATTCTCACTGTTGAAGTCCCTCTAGGCCTCCGGCTGGCAGTGTGCATCGCTGTGGGCGATTCCGTGCGGGATAGTATTGAATCCTGAGAGGATCAAATGTCATATGTTGAATCGAAAGGCTTTTTTTGAAGCTACCCTTTCCAATTTGGCAGCGAAACAGAACTAATGGTGATGACTGAGAAGGTCTTTCCTCAAACTCTCTCGCGACGACAAAGAGGCGTAAACTGGTTGCGGATTTTACCAGATATGATAGAAGAGGGCCGTTCCGAACCTACTTTCGATGTATTGCGTAACATGAAACCACCACTTCACCATAGCGACACTTATTCTGCCCTTGTACCTTGACATGCGAGAAGCCGGCAGATTGGCTCAGCGTCTGTGCGACTACTTCAGTGTATCTTACTCGGGAAGCATTCTGGATTGGTTTTGGTCCGCAACTCTGAGCCGCAAGCCATTTGCTTGAAGCTTCTTCAACGGCCTTTATTTCCTGAGCTAAGTCTTCATTTCGTAGCGCACTCACATGTTTCTTCCTTAAGTTTCCACTTTCAAGATTATCTGAGTGTTTTCACCACTAGTGTTTTGTCCAACATAAACTGCCACAAAGTGCCTCGCAGTTTCGCAAAGGTCAAGTACTTTGGCATCTATTCGCCAAGTTTGCATTTCTGCTCCGTATTATTTACTCAAAGCCGAAAGTAACGCGTGAAATGGCTTTCTTCCGAACGTAACAATGACTGCTTTCGTCGGGAGGCTTTTGCAACCTTTTCGACTATTATTATCAAACTTGTCATCCACCTTATTATTTATTTGTTTATTTGTTTACTAGCACTTACGTGCACCATCGACAGCAAAAAAGAACATGAATATTAAGAGCATACCAACTCAAAGGCAAATCAAACCGCTCGAGCAAATCAAACGCGCTAGAAGTCAACAAAGAAAAACCATAACTGTTATATTTACTACCTAAATGCAGAGGAAAGCATATAAAAGGAGGCCGTGTACCAAGTCAATTGATAACACCTAGGGGAGAGAAACCATAAAAGAGGGCGCACAAGGCAGTAGACCTTAATCGCAAAACGCGATCATCGCTTAAAAACCTTCCCCATACTACTAGGCATATTGAGAGGTGAAATGACGACCATGTGGACGCTGCGCCATGAGTCGAGGAAACAGTATGACATAACTGCCGAGTTCCATAATTAGTGAAAGCGTAAGCTTTATACTATAGAAGAGAATTTCTCACAGTAAGCTACTAAGGGCGGTGGGACTAGTTGCTTTTTGCGCTCCTACATAAGATGTTCCTCGTTCATTTCCGGATTCCTTCAGTCGAAGTAACCCGATCTTGTGAAGAATAGAGGAGTCCGTGGTTATCCCGCGTTTAATTGTATGCCTATTTTTTAGTCCTGTCTATGCTTCTTATTGTCTGAGTTGTAGAAACAGCATGTACAGCCTCGTTCGATGAATGCAGCGGCGTGTCCAGGGGACTGAGTTAGGAGCGCCTCTGGACTATTTCCCACCAACAACTGTCGCTTATTTCAAACACGGTGAAGAGCGGGCTGTCGCTAA